AAATCGTCTGTTTAATCATTAAACAATCTGCCGTTGTAGAGGAGGAAATGGATCAAAAAGGCAGTGGCTCCTACCTTCAGAGCTTTATTTGACAAGCAGTAAAGGAGGCCTGGACTGCACGGGGCAGAGAGTTGTACAGCATGTTTATTCTGGCCTTGCCAAGGTGGGGATCGGGAACAGCGGTCCATATATGGCCACCGTTGGATGGGTTTTGCATCAACAAAATCTGACTTCTTTAATTCGTGACAGCACTGGCTCTCTGGTTCCTCAGATCTGGTCCTCCTCGTTAGAGTAGACCTGCTGAAATCTACGGGAGGGAGATGTGTCACCTGCAACCACCTGAATTCCCACAGATGTCGGTGGGGCTGGTGTGGGTGGGAGGCACATTTGGGCCCAGCGGTGAGCCGTGGAGTGGGTTTGCTCTCCTGGCCGGGTTGTCAGGTCTCAGCGCATCCGCGGCAATCTGCGGGAAGGTTGTCGTTTCTAGGAGGGGAGGCCAGGCTCAGGAAAGACGACACTCGACAAAGAGAACATGTGGCCTTTGTTTGTGCAGCCCATTGAAAGCATCACTTAACCTTCTGCACTCCTTCCCACGCTTTGCGTCTTCCTCCCTGCCTAGAGGAGAAGGAAGACATAAATTTCTCCTGCTAGAGACGGGAATCCTTTGTTTGCAGAGCGGAAGGTTTTGAAAACAGGGTGTAGGCTACAGGTTGCCAACCTCCGGCTCATGCTGCCTCCAGCAGCTGCCCAGCATTTCAGATGGGAGGAACAGGTTTTGGGGGAAATCCACGGTTGCCCAAGACTCTGCTTTGCCGCTGAGCAAAAGTCCCCGAGTTCGTACAAGGCTCTTGGGGCCATTCTGTTTGGAGATCCTTAGAGGAGAGGGCAGACGGTGATGTCGCAAACAAATGACTCAAGTCACCAATAAAATTAACGTCCTTAGGGTTGGCCAAAACTCTTTGGCATCTTCAAAGGTCATCTAGTCTAACCCTCTTCGGCTGATTCAGGTGCTTTCTCTCTTCATAGGTTCAACACCCTTCTGGCTTTTAACCATCGTGAGTCCCTGAATGCCTTTTTTTTAAATTAAGAGAGTTTTTGAAGGTTTCATTGCTCATAAGTGCTTTAATTAGCATATAATTTAATTGTCTTCCCCCCCCCATGTTTAACCTAATATATTCTTAATTCTATTCTTTTTACTGTTGGGAGCCACCTTGGGTCCTCTTATCGGGAGAAAGGTGGTCTCTAAACGAACAAACACATGGCTTCGTTTATGGAGTGAGTCCATCTCCTGCTTGCTCACCCTTCTTTCCTACCGCCGTCTGCTTTTCCTAGCACTATGGTCTTTGCCCTCTAAAAGACAGCCCTTCAGGCTGGCTGCTCGACTCTCTCGGAGGGAAGGGGCTGCTAAGGAAGACTGTAAGGGAAAGGCGAGGCCTGTCGGCGCCGGAGAGTCTTCTTAACCACTTTCTTGGTCGTTTCCCAGATTGACGTCCAGCGACAATGGCGACCCGGGGCCTGGTGGCTGCCTGGAGCTGCCCACGCCTCGTTGGCCCCTTAATCAAACCGGGGGGGTCCAGAATGAGCTTGTCCCGACTCCATACGACTGGCGGGTCAGCTGCCAAGGACTACTACGAGGTGCTCGTCCTGGGCGGAGGGACCGGCGGGATCGCCATGAGCGCACGGATGAAGAGGAAAGTTGGGGCGGACAACGTGGCGGTCGTGGAGCCCCAGGAGGTAAAAACGTGGCTTCTTCTCTCACTCCGGGGGAGAGAAACAGGCGTCCCAGGTTCTTAGAGGAAGAAACGGCGGCTGCTTCTCAACTCTTCCTGCTGGATTCTCCGCTTCATTTTTATTTTATCTGCTGCATTTCATGCCGTAGGGCAGTGGTCCCCACCCTTGGGCCTCCAGATGTTCTTGGACTGCAACTCCCAGAAGCCTTCACCACCGCCTCTGCTGGCCAGGATTTCTGGGAGTTGAAGTCTAAGAACATCTGGAGGCCCAAGGTTGAGGCACCACTGCCATAGGGGACCCCGGGGCAGATCACTGCAATTATAACTGTACAGGAAGAACACATTTAAAATACTGTTTTAAAACTATATTAAAGAGACCCCATTCAGGATCGGACGGGATCAAACATCATTTTCAAAACATTATAAAATACCGAAATGTCAGAAAACAGCCTTCAGTAGACTCCATAGCCTGCCTGAAGAGGAAGGTGTTTGTGTGAGGATGGAAGGGCTGGAAGCGAAGGGGACTGACCTGGTTTTTCGGGGCAGCGCATTCCATAGCCGGGGAGCAGCCACCGAGAAGGCCCCGTCTCGCGTCCTCACCCAACGAGGCTGAGAAGGTGGCGGGACCATTGCTAGTGTCAAAGTAAGCTTCAGATGCCCAAATGTCCTTTGCCTCAGGCAGCAAAAAGTCTTGGGATGGCCTTGATTGGTTCTTCTCCCCAGGCTTCTCTGGATCATTAAATCTCTTGGTTTAATTATGTAAGCTTCCTTGAGGGTCCCTTCTGGGGAGAAAGGCAGCACAGAAATGTTTTAAATAAGGTAAATGACAAATAAATCTCTTTCAGAATCACTATTATCAACCGATCTGGACGTTGGTCGGGGCAGGAGCGAAACCCCTGGCGCCGTCTTCCCGTCCGACGGCAAGCGTGATCCCTCCGGGGGTCCAGTGGATCCGGTCGCGAGTGCAAAACCTGGATCCGGACAAGAACTGCGTCCATTTGGAGAACAACCAGAAGGTAAGGCGGAGAAGCGCTTTGTGAAGCTTCTCCCCGAATCTCCAGTTCGTTCAAGTGTCCCATATATGAAAACAAAAGCCCTCCCCCCTTACGAGACTCTATTACTTTGACAGAAAACATTTTAAACTTGGCCAGAGACCCAATATCCCATTGACCGGCTCAGCATCTGGTCTTTGTGACCTTTTAAAGACCAGCACAGCTGAGTGGCGAGAGAGTGCAGGAACCCAAACTCAGAAATCTGGAGGCCCGGAGGTTTCGAACCCGTGACGTGCCTCAGTCCGCGTCAGATTCATTGTTTCGGGCTGAAATCCAACACCCACTTCCTCAGTGTGAGATCAAACTTCCCTACACATCGGAGGACCGGGACGGCTTCCGACCCTCGTTTCTAGCATTTGAGCTGAGCTTTAGCCGCTGTTCCTGGGAAGCACCTCTGTGGCAAAAAATACGAGATTAAAATAAAGATATATACTTATTGTCACGACGTTTTGTTTTGTTTTCAATTTGTAGATATCGTACAAGTATTTGATCGTTGCCCTTGGGCTGCAGCTCCATTTTGAAAAGGTATTATTGTGTTGTATTGTGTGTGTGTGTGTGAAAAGGTATTATTGTGTTGTATTTTGTGTGTGTGTGTGTGGTTTTTCTCCTTCTAGGTGTGTGTGTGTGTGTGTGTGTGTAGTTTTTCTCTTTCTAGAGACTTCTCTCTCTGCTAGTGCCAGCGATGGCCAAGGTTCAAGGCACATTGGACGCAATGAAAGTTACCCCGTTAATTTTATTCTGTTCCAGATCAAAGGCTTGCCGGAAGGTTTCAATTCACCGAAAATAGGTTCCAATTATTCTGTCCACACGGTGGAGAAAACGTGGAAGGCTCTGCAGGGTTTCCAGGAAGGAAATGCCATTTTCACTTTTCCAAACACCCCCGTGAAGTGCGCCGGGGCACCGCAAAAGATTATGTATTTGTCCGAGGCGTACTTCAGAAAGGTCAGTGCGCGCCGAGGCTAAGCAGTCCGGCTGGCAGACTTTGGGTGGTCAAAGGGAACAGGTGACCCAAAGTGTTGTGGTATTTTAAAGGCCAACGTGTGGAACAGAGAGGGCTCGATGCACCAGTTTAAACAGCTGGAATCCGGCCTCAGCACCATTGTCACCGTTCGGTAGGACTGGCTTCCAGGTTGGGTCATTTACAGCTGTCACCAAGTTAAGAAATTCCAAGTCAATGGATCAAAGAATCTTAGTTCGTAGTTGAGTAGCTACAGCTGTGTACAAGTGCATTAAAAATTAACATGTGTTTCATTTTTTAAATTTTTAATTATATTTCTTGCTCCAAGCATCCCATCAGGGAGGTCTTCTGCCCTATACGGCAGGACCTCTGCAATTTTATATATATATTTGTATCCTAAAGACCAGAGCTGCCTTTATGGGCCTGCCTAGGGAAGTTCTCTCTTCGATCCATCTTCCCCAGAGGTGTGGGATTGAGAGATAGGCTTCCCTTGGCCCAAGATAGGGCCTTCTTCTGTCACGGCTCCCGATCTGTGGAACTCCCTTCCACAGGAGGGAGGCCAGGCTGGCCCCCCTCTTTGTTTTCCTCCCATAAAGCAAGCAAAGACTTTTCTCTTCCTGCAGTTTTTTTCCTCCATTACTAGCTGGCGAAGATGAGTTTTAAACGTGGGGTTGCTCTGTCGTCTTTTAAAATGTGTTTTTTAGCGTGGTTCTAAATATTTTTATCTGCTATTTTTTTAAAATTTGGTATCTGTTGAATTATTTTTAAATATTGTCATAATGTACTGTTTTCACATTGTGATCGTTTTTTAAAAAAAAAATATTGTTGTTTTGGTTCCTCCTCAGGAGGAAAACAGGGATATAAATATGTTTAAGAAAAAGAAGTGAATCATGTTTAGGGCCACAGCCATCTCCTTTTGTTTTGATTGGACCCCTCCGTGTAGGTGGAGAAAACGCACCAGCATGTAACCACTTAGTTTGCATTATTTTTGCTCCCCTGCATAGACTGGGAAAAGACCCAAAGCCAACATCATCTTCAACACGTCCCTTGGGGTGATTTTTGGTGTCAAGAAGTACGCCGACGCTCTGCTTGAGATTATCAAGTCCAGGAACATCACCGTGAATTACAAACGGAGCCTAATCGAAGTTCGAGCCGACCGACAGGAAGCCGTCTTTGAGAATTTGGACAAACCTGGGGAGACGGAGGTTTACCGGGTCGGCAACGCAGGCTTTTCTGTTTCATTCGTCTAAATTGCCCCATTTTGCTCAGGAACTAGGCGAAACACCAGGGGTGTGTGGGGGAGGGAAGGCCTGTGGCAGAAAGGTTTTGAAGCCAGATCAATCTTCCCCATGTGTTTCGGGCAGAGAGCAACCCGGAGTCACTTCACTGCTCCTGGCAGCCTGCCTGATGGTGTGTGGGGGGGACGCCCTCTGTTGAGGGACTGTGTATGCCAACGGTGGGGGGGGGGAATGCAGAATGAACCAAACCCTTTCCAAAGCCTCCGTCCCCAGCAGAGATGGCCAGCTCCCCCTACACACAACCTGTTCTGCAGGTTTGCGATTGGCCAGTGAAAGATATACACCCTAGCTGGGTCTGCAAGTCTGATTGCTCAGCCTCACATTTCCTAAGAAGGGGAGGGGAGAAAAACCGGCTATGGTGAGTAGGTTGCACTTCCCTAAACGTAATCTGACCTTCTGGCTCTTTTTCTGGGACCAGTATGAAATGCTTCATGTCACACCGCCCATGGGACCCCCGGCTGTTCTTCTCAACAGCCCAGTGGCTGATGGAGCTGGCTGGCTGGACGTCAACAAGGAGACGCTGCAACATAGAAAATATCCCAATGTGTTTGGGATCGGCGATTGCACCAACCTCCCCACTTCCAAAACAGCTGCAGCCATAGGTGAGCCCCGTTCTGGATGCTTTGTGGTTTAACATCCGTGTGGTAGCTTCCCACACTGGCTTTTAAGGGTTTTGGGAGTTTATCCTCGCTCCTAAGGGAACAGGATTTGTTTTCAATCGTTGGGACTCCTCTTGGAGAGATTTCGGTGGAGCCAAGATGTGAAGAAAATAACAATGATGTGGATGGCGGACTCAGTCTAGCATTTTATTTCGCTAAATATGTTGAGGATACTGTCAAGACTTTTTTGAAAACACTGATTGGTTATATATGCCTGCAACATGCAACACAGACCGAACTTTGAATTGTCTCTGTATTTATCCATTTCTGGAACGGAATGGAAGTTGAGACAACTAGAGGATGGTTTCATGAGCTGCCAGTCGAAATGCATTTTCAGACTTCACTGTTGTTTTGATAATTACGTACTGTTTCATCAGCAAAATGCTACCACACTAATGATGGAAACCTTTATCTCTTCCATAGCTGCCCAGTCTGGGGTACTCGATAAAACACTTTCTTCCGTAATGAAGGGCAAAACTCCAAGTAAAAAGGTAACCAGATTGTCTGTGTTCATCTTTAAAATGGGCAGATCTGTCCCTTTTTCCCCTTAAAACCTGCAACGTTTTTGTAAACATCCTATTAAGAATAGATTAAGTAGGAAATTGTAATTCACTTTGACTCTTTTTAAATGGATTGAGAGGCACTGCAGAGCGCTGATAATGACAGAAATGCTTTTGAGTAACAAGTAGATGGGTTTGCTCTGCTGCTTAAAATGTATACAATCAAATATTTTGCAGTACGATGGCTACACGTCTTGTCCCCTGGTAACAAACTACAACCGAGCGATCCTAGCGGAGTTTGATTACAATGCTCAACCTCTAGAAACGTTTCCGTTTGACCAAAGCAAAGAGCGGTGGACAAGTTTTCACATGAAAGCCAATATGATGCCTTCTCTTTACTGGTATGGGTTACTGAAGTAAGTATATTCCCCTCTTTGAAAAGCCCAAATGTAGGCTGTAATGCAAGGGGGCACTACACGTGGGCCCTTAGTGGCAGAAGTATAGCATTTCAGAGGGTTGTGCAATACTGTAAACAAGAACTGGAAACTGTTATTCTAAAATGTAAACATTTCTGAAATATTTGTTTAATATGACTTGAAGTGATTGGTTACATCTTGGTAAATACATTTAATTTTCAGAGAGGGGGCCCACACTATTTCTAGAAAAATCAGTGCATTAAGGATTGCCATGGGTTACACCAGCAGAAATGCCCACTGTCATAAATATGCTTAATTGTGATTAACTTGTATGCCTACATCACTGAGAGATCAATACAGCTGTCTTTTCAATTTATACTTTACTCCCTATGCTTAGCTCAGCTTTGTGGCTTCTTGATGCATGCCGAAATGAAATCCCGCTGCTATTTGGCAAGTGCCATGGCTGACCACAATGTATTTCATCCCTTTTTTTTTCTATTTTAGGGGATATTGGGGTGGTCCAGCTCCTATAAGAAAATTGCTACATCTTGGGTTGAAGTGATGTCCAGAGCAGCTAAAACCCAACCAGCACAGAACATGGCATTTTGTGGAACTGACAGAAATTCTGCACAATTCTATCATTCCTGCACCAATAAAATTGTTTATCTCAGGAAGGAGAGAAGCATCAGACTCATCTGTACAGTATTTTAAAACCTATGCACTGTCTCTATTTTTACAACTTCTGGCTAGATTAGTGGGAAAGCAATATCTACTACGGACAGTCAGTGGTTCTGCTTTTAGCACATGATTTTGTCCTATTTACCCTTGATGTAATACTGAGTCATAAGGTCAGTGTCTACAGAGTTTTTTTGTTACTGTTCTAGCTGGTACAGTGGCTAAAAGTATAACCTCAAATCACCCCCGTGCAAACCTTGCCTAACCCACAAACCTTGGATGGCCTTGTGGACGCTATCATCATTTAGACACGAGCTGATATTTATTACCACTGCAACACCAACCTTAAACAACGGTGGTCAAGGATGCTGGAAATATTTCTACATTGAACAACCGAAAAGCAGACTTTTCATTCAGGAAAGGTTGGCATACTAGCCAAGCATCCGTTTGTTTTAAACGGACAACAGAAATTATGCCTCAGATCTTTGCAATTAATGATAAAGCATGTTGCTCTTGATGAACTAAGCGCAGGCAATGTTTTCCAGCCTCTTACATCTGTTGGTGGATTGCTAGATGTATATACTTTGTGTTATCTTACTTAATGCTAGTTAGTGACCCACACTATTAATGTGTGGGAACACCTCCGACTACAGGTGTTGTTTGTTGCTGTTATAGGATTCTGTTCATGCTGTTGGCCTCTCCCCAACAGAAAAGAAGATGATGATGGTTCCATCCCCAGCAAAATGCTGGAAGCACTGTCTAAGCATAGAGCATTAAAATCACAAATACAAATTCAGAATCATTATGGATGGTAGATGGTTTTTAATCAAGGCCACGTTGTCGAGACTTTCATCCGCATGAAATACAATAATTAAGAACAGAAAAATCTTCACAGAAGTTGGTAATTTATTGCCGAACCAGGCATGGACTTTAAAAAAAAATAAGTTACTGAAGGAGTGTCTTCTCTCTCGTGGGAATCGCCTTGGCTGCTCGTCTTAACTCTGGAAGAAGAACGAACTGGTGAGGCTTTACAGAAGTCCACAAGTTGTGAATTGGTTATTACATGGTAAAATTAGTTGAGAGTTGTCTTGCTCTGACATTCAGAAAATCTCTCCCCTGCTCACCGTTCCATTGGGTCTCTCAATGCAAACGTAGCTGAATAGGAAAACTGATGTCAGAGCAAGAAGGCTTAGCGCTGAAGAGGGAGTAACCCTCTGAATTTAAGTGAACGTCTGAGGAAATAGGCATACACGGTTCCTTCTCTCTCACTGTATGTCACGACAACAAATAATCTGAACTTCCAATTGACTCCAGTCAAAGAAAAAGTAGTTAACGAGCAGCTGACAAATTCTACGTGGCACAGAGGCGATTCCCTATCCTTGCGCTGGTCATCTTTTTCCTATCAAAGTTCTTAGTACTGCGCCCCAGGAAAAGCTGGGGCTGAAGCACGGGTGGGAGTTCTCTGCTCAAAGCACCTCTGAGAAGTTCAGGACCAGAACTGATGTGCTCAAGCCCACTAGGAATCTTGAGAAAGCCACAGTAACCAATTCTTGGCAGACTTCTTTAAAAAACAACATCATTTCCCCTTCCCTTTGTGCCTTAGAATCTGAATAAGGACTCAGCAACCTCTTCTGGCCCCAGACTTTGGCACAACCCTTACCAGCATCTCCATCAGCTCTTCTATGCTGTTCTGGATATGCCCGTAGACTTCACTGAAGAGCTCCTCTCGTGTTTTTGCTCCATCCAGCTGGACTGAAATATAAGCAGCCGGCACTTAAAAGACAAGTCAGTTTTGCTGCCATCAGCAGCCCCTACTTTCAAACTGATGAGGCAAGCCAGTTATTTTCAGTATTGCTATTTTTGTGCCTCTAGGCACAGATTTACATAAGCAACACATTTTAAAATCAGGCCAACATCCACTAAGGGGGAAAAAGTTAACTTTAAGATTCACAAGCTTTGGTTTTCCTGAATACAAACAGATGCATTAAATAATCTGAGGACTCGTTTTGTCTCTGTAGATCCTGCTCTGATGAGAGAAAACAAATGTTTCCCATTTGCTCTACACACCACAGAGAAGTAGTTTTGCAGGGTCCCTGGGTTGGAGGAGAGGGAGGGGGATTTAAATCTTCCATCCTTAAAACACCCACAGCAATGGGCTGCTGTGCCCAGATAATCCAAGGCGCCTAGCGTGGTCTTTTAGACCAGATGGTCAGGGTATAAATCAAATAAATAAATAAGGTATTGATGACAGCCCACTGCAAAGCACGACACCTGCCCAGTGTTGCTTCCGGGCAAAAAAAGTGCCACTCCACCGTCAGCTCCTGGCTTGAGCAGGGATGTTTGTGGAATACATTCCACTCTGATCCTATTTTCTGTCTGGACATAAAGACACCCCCCCCCAATATGTGCTCTGAAGTGAGTGTAAAGTCAGCCAACTTTCCACATGCAGGATCAGAGATCCGAAGCTACGAAAGGGAGCAAGAAATCGTGTGGCTGGAGAATAAACAGGAGATGCACAGCCAGATGCTTTAAAAAATAATAATAATGAGCCTACATTAATCCAAGAAAGAAAATAAGGGTTTGCTAACCAACAGCTGTAACTCGAGTAAAACTGAGTTCAACTTGCCCGGGAAATATTGTCATAGATACAGTATAGAAGGTGAATACATTTCATCACTCACAGTGGAACAGACAATCACCTTTGAAACTGGCTCCCAAGACAAAACTTCGCTTACCCACATCAATGTCAAGGTCTTCCATCACTTTCTTGTGTTTTAAATACATGGGCCAGACGTGACCATCAAACAAACCGGGGGGATCTGGTACTGTGTAATTCCTTGAACTAGACATGGCGGAAGCGAGAGAGACAGAAAGAAGAAACAATGAAGTACAACCTAGATTTCTGTGCAGTTGTTCCCCACATCAGTAAAGGGATCCTTACATATCCTGTCACGTTAAGATGTGTTTTAACATGACAGAAGAACTTCCCCAAGAAAATTTGCAATTCAATTTTGGGGGTGGGGACAAACATACCTTCTTCTCCTCTTGCATTCTTCATAGGGAATGGAAAGAAAATACCGGAGGTTGAAAACATCAATTAAAGGCCTAGAAAAGGGAAACAAACAAGGGACTGATTTGCATAAAACCTGGACGTTTTATCTTCCTGGGATTACAACTCCCAAGATTCACCAGCTGGTACACATGAACTTTTCCAACTAGTCCTCCTAGATCAGAACAAAATCTCCTTCTAGTCTGGGATACTGTGTTTCTCACAATGGTTGTTCCATTCTCCAATTCCTCCCCTATAATATATATATTATAAAGCTGCACAGTTTTCTAAATATAGCCAAACCAAAGGTTCATGCCAGGACAGGAAGATACTGCCATTTCACGGCCAGCTCCTAACACTGACGGCTGCTCTACAGGGTGTTGTGCAGATGTTAAAGAACACAACCACAGTGCTTTTAAAACATCTGCTGCTTAATTCAAATCCCAGTGAAGTAAATCTAGGACTTTTCAGCCCCGCTGCGCACCACTTTATATTTTACCTACACAGAGCCTCATCTACTCCCATTGCCTCTTATTCACCCAGTCCAGAAAAGACTGTCGGGATTCTCACCTTCCTGAGCAGCCTGGCACCATCCATAACAACCAGCCCGCTGACGGATCAGTCCTGACTCAGCTGTTAGGGGCAGGTTGCCCAGCACCGCCTTCCTCCTGCATTCTTGTTACATGCCGCCCGATGCTTGTAAAGCTATCCACCTGCCACTTCCTCTTCTTGAACCAGCAAGTGGTCCCTAAGAGGGCTTCTCATCCCCCCGTTTACTCATGAGCTTTTGGCAAGGAATGTCACTAAAAGCCTATTAGCGAGCTGGCGGGCCCTCACTCACCACACGCAGGAAGTCATTCAGCAGTCCTCGCGCTCGAACCAGAAAGAAAGGTTGGCTGAACTTGCAGAATTATTGTAAAGACTGTTAAGAATGTTGGGATTCATTGGAGGGGGGGCAGTTGCATGTGAAAAACTGCTGCCATTAGGTAAAGGTTCCCCTTGACAATTTGTCCAGTCGTGTCCGACTCTAGGGGGTGGTGCTCATCTCCATTTCCAAACCATAGAGCCAGCGTTTGTCCACAGACAATCCTCCGTGATCATGTGGCCAGTGTGACTGGACACGGAATACCATTCACCTTCCCACCGAGGTGGTACCTATTTATCTACTTGCACTTTTGCATGCTTTCTAAATGCTAGGTTGGCGGGAGCTGTGACAAGCGATGGGGGCTCACTCCATCGCGTGGATTCAATCTTACGATGGCAGGTCTTCTGACCTTGCAGCCCAGAGGCTTCTGCGGTCTAACCCGCAGCGCCACCATCTTCCCTATTTCAAAACTTCATGGACACAACTGTAACTGTCTACAACAAGTAACACTGCTTTATTCATCTCTAATGGTTGCAGTTGGATTCAGGGAGACAGAAGTCGGATAAATAAATACATCATCGTTCTCTACATGGCAGCATTAGTTACCATGATCTGCATTAAATCTCTGATACACTTGGCAATGGTTCCAATTAATTGAGAAATTATGTTTATTTCATGGAGGTACACTTGTACTTAAAAGCTGCCATTCGCAATACAAATAAAATACCGCTTCAGATTTCTTAAAACGTTTGTGAAATTTTGCTCACCCGGCAGGCCTTTCTATTTGCCCTGGAAACTCCCACGCACAGATAAAAAAAAAAAATTAAGGTCCACCCCCACCCCCAACAATCAAAAGAACAATTCCTCAGATTAGGACTCAGGTTTCACATGCTTTTGTACAAACAATCAGAAAGTGCTGGAACAAGTACAGATTATCTTATCATAACTCAAGTGCCTGCAAAATCAGATTTGTCCACACCACATACATTCTATTAACATATACCTATTGAAAGTAAGTGACTGTTGCTAATGAAATATGAGGGCCAGGGTCATCTCTGCACCTACAGAGTAATCACTAATAGGTAAACCCTGAGTAAGCTAAATTGAGTAGAACACGGAATGCTTCAGTTACCTGTAAGTGTAAAGTAAGAATCCTTCTACGATCAGGATATGCAGGCTGTCATCCTTCTCCCCGGAATCCTCTATAGTTCTAGCATCCAGTGTGTTAATGCCATGAGATCGTTCAAACTTGACTGGGTTCTTCTTCCAAGCATTGATGGTACTCATCATTGCATCCATATCCAACGCACTAATAACTACAATGTTAAAAAAATGAATGTTATTAAATACTAGAATACTATTGTCTTTATTGCATTTTCCTGTTTGTTTGTATGACTGTAATTATGTTTTGATGGGTTGTGAACTGCCCAGAGTGTTCACACAAATGGGTGGTATACAAATCGAAGGAAAGGAAATGCAGAAAATGTATAGAACATCCTGGTCTCCAGTGGCTACCAACTCGTATCCTATTCTGCAATGTCCCTTTTACTCACCAAGTCCAACCCCAGGACATGAACTAAAGGTTTCTAAACCAGTAGTAGTTATTGCCTGGATATAAACAGAACTTACCATCATACTGTTTAAATCCATCTTCAATGGCTATCTCATCCTGGGGCTGAAACAGAACAAAAACTGTCTAGAGATCCGCTCACAAACGTCAGGGCTCACTTTAAGGGGGAAAAAAGCAAGATGGGTAATGTGCCTGGTGAAACTGACTGGCTGGTAACTGGCTAAAAGTAAAACATCAAAGCTAGACCTTTCCTGGGGGGGGCGGGCGGGCGCAGAACTACAAGCCAAGGATAACACACTTTTGCTTTTATCTCATTACCAGCAGATCGACATTGCTAGCCCACTTTCCAAACAGAAAAGCTGCACATTGGGATCTTATCCAGTCACTGCAGAGACACTAACACACACACACGCATGCGCGTGCACTCCCCCCCTTTTCCTGGTGCAATCTGATCTATGGCAAAACACAAAAACATTAAAGAAGAAAAGCAAGACTTCAGCTTCCAACTTGGGACAGTTGGCTTCACCTGGATTAAAGGTGGACGGGTCTGATTTTAGGGCAGAACTAAAGGTAGATGATTATTCAAACAACTCCACTCTTTCTCTGCAGTTAAGTTCTGAAGCTGCTTGAGAAGAGGAGCTGCAGGAAAGTCAGCAGTGAGTGCAGGTGGGGTCCTCACATCTGCTGTTCAAATGGGTGCCCTGACCCTCTTTTCCTGTTAGGAATGGTATAGACGCAACCCACTTCTTTTACATGTCTATACAACATGATGTTTAGTACGAACAGTAGATTTTGTAATGTTGATAGCCAAGATAGCAAAACCAAGCTTTTTGTTTATTTATTTGCCTTTGCTATGAGAGTCAGAAGCTGCATCTTCCTTAATCCTTGAAAACACCAGGTTCTTCCCTATGTAGTTTCAGTATCCCACATAGTTACAAGGGCTAGAAATCCGGCTGACCTGTAGATAGGCCAAGAACCAAATCCTTTATTTCCTAGCTATGAGGCCCGTATATTTGGGTAAGGAACTTTCCGTCTGACAGCTCTGCCAAGAAAGATCATGCAGTGCCAGGACCATGGGAGTTGGGAGGGGTGTGTGCGTAGAATACACAAACCAAGTTGGCAGTCTCACCTTGAAAAAGTCGTCTTGATGGACGACACTGCAGTTGGGCAGTGCCTTCATGAGTCTGCCGGTCAGTGTGGTCTTGCCGCCGTTGGTGATCCTGAAACAAGAAGCGCAATTATATCAGCCAAGATCCTGAACTGACCTCCCTCGTGTCTGTAGTGTGGGGTGCTTCCTTCACTACACAGAAATTTTGCTGTATGGAAGTTATGAAACAATTACAAAGAAAGAAAGACAAGGAAATGTATTTAGCAGCCCAGCCTTCCTACTTCCTTGTCTTTCAACGGCACATAAATGGCGGCTGAATATTTCCTGACTGTACGTTTTGCTTCTCGCTCATGCATGGCCTTGTAACGGCTGTCTTTTTGGTTTCCACTTTTTTTTCTTTTTAGCATGCCACCCATCTTTTTTTTACGAGGGCAGCAGAAAACAGTCTCAAATACTAGAAGATGTACATTGTTGTAACTCTGGTGCAATTATTTTCCAAGGGGAACTCACTGTTTATTAGGAACACATGTCCATTTATTTGTTTTCCGTCCATGAGTCTTTTTTGGTGGAGAGAGGAGATAAAAGGGAAGAAAGGAAAATTTCAAACAATCCTAATAGAAACATTTATCCTCCTTTTTAATTCCCTTAGAATTAGTCCTCCTTCGACAGAGAAAGGGCAAGATTGGAGGGGGGGGAGAAAAAAAGATAATCAACAGAATTCTTCAAGGTGACTTTGCAAATCCTTCTCCCATGTGGGAGGCAATTTTTTAAAGCAACCAATTTTTTTTAAATGAAAACTATTTCTAAGCATCGGTTGCTTTAAAAAAAATAACATTCGGGCGGATGGAGGGAAAAGGGGGGGCATTCCCGATGGGGTTTAGAAAGTCGCAAAATTCAAAACGGCATGAAATGAATGAAAGAGCGTGAGAGGCGGAGGCGAGAACTCCATTTTGAGTCAATTATGCTGATGGGAATTTCCCCCCACCTTCCCAAATGGGATAAAACGCGGCTCAAAAGCAAGGCTGGAGCCCACCCAAAGGCTGGGACCACGTGGAGCCCTTTCGCGCCCGCCCGCGCCACTCGGGCTGTTCCCTGCGCCCGCCCGCCCGCCTTACCCGCCGATGCCGATGATGACTTTCATGGCGCCCCGCGTGCCGGTGGGTGGAGGAGGAGGCGGCGGCGGCGGGTTCCTGGGGAGCCCCGAGGGGAGGAAGGCCCGACCGGGGGCGGTGGGTGGAGGGGAGAGGAGCACGAGCGTCAGCTGTCGCGCAGCGCCATGGCCTCGGAGAAACGGCGGCCGCAGAGAGACCCGTCCGCACCGCCCCGACGCGCCAGGGCGAAAGAACGAAGCGCCCCGGCGGAGCCCGACTCCACCCGCGTCACCCGCCAGGCGACGGCTCATTGGCTGGAGCCCGGGCGTGGCCGCCAATCCGGAGAGAGCCGGCTGCCTTTCCCCGCCCCGCGCCCTGATGGCCAATGAAGGAGAAGCAACGAGGGATGAAGGGCGCTCCGATTGGCTAGTTTGCCCCGGGCCCTCGAGTTCCCTCAGGCGGACCCTGCAGGGCGGCAGCCTCCCTCACAGAGCAGACGTTGGCGGGCCGGGGGCGGTTTAGAAAAGGCGGGCTAACGGGTTTCAAATCAATAATAAATAAATCTGAGAACATGGATTGAAATAACCTTTGGAAAGCCACACTGCAATCTGCCAGTTCCAAAGGCGACACTGTAGTTTTTTTCTCGTTTTCCTTTCTCAAACGGAAACAGCCCCAAATTGCCCCTTTGGAAATTAAATAAAGCCTAGAAATGGATTAAAATCTTTCTAAGGGGAAGCTCATGAGGGGAAAATTAAAAAAAACATCAATGTAGGCTCCCGGTTAAGATTTTACACCCATCCGATTCCCAAGCTTTGGAAATAGGGAAATAAATGCATGCCAAGTAAAGTATTTATTGCTCGTTGCTTCGTTGGACGTCGAAAGTATAACGATTAGGCTTCAAAATCGACACAGCCCCATATCCTTTTTTTTTTTTTTTTTTTGGGGGAAAAAAAACATGTGCATTTATTTTT